ACTCTAAGATCAACAATCAATAAACGTTACCTCATGAAACTGAAAAGGCTTCTGTAAAGCAAAAGACAAATTTAACAGAACAAAACTACAGCCTACGTTCTGGGAAAATGTCTTCATCAACCCTACATTTGACAGGGGGCTAATATCCAGAATATATAAAGAACTCAAGAAATTATATACCAACAAACCAAATAATCCAATTTAAAAAAATGGGATACAGAGCTAAACAGAATTATCAACAGAGGAATATCAATTGGTAGAGAAACATTTAAAGAAATGCTCAACATCCTTAGTTATCAGTGAAATGCAAATCAAAATAACTCTGAGATTCCATATCACACCTATCAGAATGACTAAAATCAAAAACTAAAGTGACAACACATGCTAGAGAGGTTGTGAAGAAAGGGGAATGCTCCTCCATTGCTGGTGAGAGTGGAAAATTATACAACCACTTTGGAAATTAATCTGGTGCTTTCTCATAAAATCAGGAATAGTGCTACCTCAACACTTAGCCCACTTTTGGACATATATCCTAAAGAAGCTCAACCATACAGCAAGGACATTTGCTCAACTATGTTCATACCAGCTTTATTCATAATAGCCAGAAACTAGAAACAACCTAGATGTTCCTCATCCAAAGAATAGATACAGAAAGTGTGGCATATTTACACAATGGAATACTACTCAGCTATTAAAAACAAGGAAATCCTGAAAATTTCAGGCAAATATATGAAACTAGAAAAGATCTTCCTGAGTGAGATAACACAGAAGCAGAAAGACAAGCATGGTGTATACTCACTTGTAAGTGGATATTAGTCATATAATATAAACATACTAAAATCTACAGACCTAAAGAAACTAAACAACAAGGGAGGATGCCTAATTCTCATTCAGAAGGGAAAACAGGATAGACACCAGAAGCAGTAGAAGTGAAGAACAAAATAGAAACCCATCACAGAGGCCCTTTCAAAGAGTCCTTTCAGTAGGTGATCGAAGCAGATGCAGAGACTCACAGCCAAACTTTGGACAGAGTGCAGGGAGTCTTATGGAAGAAGGGGAAGATAGAAGGACCTGGAGGGGACAAGAGCCACACAAGGAGATCAACAAAGTCAAAAGAAGCTGAGCCCAAAGGGAACTACAGAAACTGATGCATCAAACAAAGGCTATGCATAGAGAGGACATAGACCCCTGCCCAGATGTAACCCATAGGCAGCTTGGTCTACATTTGGGTCTACATTCTCTAGTAGGGGAGAAGATACAGTCCCTGATATGAACTTGTTTGACTGCTCCTCGATCCCTTCTCCCTGGTTGGGCAACCTAACCAACCCACAGAACAAGAAGATTCAGAAAATCCTGATGGGACCTGATAGGTCAGATAGGAGGGAAGGAGGACTTCTCCTATCAGTGGACAAGGGGAGATGGATAGGAGAGGTAGAGGGACGGAGGGTGGGACTTGGAGGAGATGAGGGAGTGGGCTACCTTTGAGATACAAAATGAATAAGTTGTAAATAAGAAGAAGAGGAAGAAAGAAAGAAAAAATAAGTTAAACAAATTTAAAAAAAGATGGAGATCAATTTCTGCTCATGTTTCTCATTTGTAAAGATTATTTGTTGAGCTTTTGCAAATAGAAATACTCACGTTTTGCTTGGCAGAATACTCACGTTACTTACGGCTCTGTGTACACCATTCATTTTTATTCATTGGTTCAGATTTTGGGTTAACTTTTACCTTCTATTTTATGAAAAACAAGTTTTTTTTTTCACATTTGTAGTTACTTTACAATAAGTGAATCATTCTGAATTTACAACAACTCAATCATTCAGAGACTTGAATGTGGATATTTTTCTGTTGTATTTTGGCGTTGTGCAATGAAGGTTACAAATACATTTGAATATCTCCATTGCAATTTTTTTGTGGTATAGGGAATGTTGAATCTAAACTGTTTTTATCTAAGCAGATTTCTAGCTAACTTCCATTTTTTGGCAGATGTGTTTTCTTGCTCATTCCATGTTTCCATGGAACAGAGCTTGGGAGACTGTTGAATACTTTCTCAGTGATGGGTATCAGCTGCCTGCTGCAGTGTGCCTGATAACAAAGTAAATTGGTGAACACAAACATGGTAATGGTAGAAGAGACTCAAGGAAGGACTCCTGTGTTTCTCTTCATAATATCTTCAGCCTGGGCCACAGCAGATGACACAGTGAGGTTTAAGGAGATCAGGATAATGATGTCTAGAGTGAAAATTATTCTGACTAAGTGCTGAAGTGATAGAGATTCAATCAATAAGAAAAACAGTAAAAAAGGTACACATGAAGAAAAGCGTATTGGGAGATTGGGGTGGATTTAAAGCATGGTTTTTAGGGATAGATTGACCAAAGGCTAGATAGACATCACACTTAAGTGTTTCTTAGAGCATAGTTCATTGAAGTCTGAAGGGGCCAGCTGTTAGCAGTGAACCTGCCGCGGCGGTGAAGGACATGCAACTGATGGGAACCAATACAGGCATTTTCTTTGCAGAATGGTCGTTGTTGTTGGCATATATGGGCACAGAGCACTGCTGACTAGCCTCCCACTATTACTCTATAAATATATGAGCTCCCACGAACACAAGGCAAACTGCTGTTTTGCTGAATGTTCAGCTAATTGAGCCTACAACCATAACAAATAAAATTATGGAATTCAATAGACAGAGTGATTAGCAAGGTATACCTGTAGACATAGTAACACTGGAGTGTAATTGACTTAGCTTAAAGTAGAGTTAGCATTTATCGCTAACAAACATATAGTACAGTATTAAAATTTATAATGTAAGAGATGTAACTTGGAACAGGAGTCCTGTTAGGAGATACAGTGTGTACCAGCATTGAAAAGAATCATCTGAGGACATGGAATCAGGCTGAGTTTTGTGATCATGGAAAATAAGAACAATTGGATATGAACATTGTGCTCTGAGCTCTGGGTCCTTTCTGCAGACATATGGTTGATAAACAGGATGTAGCCACAGGGCGAGCCTGAAGCCAGTCTGACAGAATAGCCAGGTGAAATGGCAAGGATCTGCAAAGAACGGGCCTGGTTCCCCATTAACCCCTGGCCAGCACAAGTAATGCAAACTGTCTAGCCAAAGCACGTCAGCTGTCCTGGGGAAGTGCCTCGAGATGATGAACCTAATGCTTAGTGGGTGATGACATGTGGACAAAATCTGTTTTTCAGTGATATGGTAAATCCAATAAAAAGCAACGCTGTCATCGAACAGTTAATTGTGGCTGATGTTGCAGTAGACTTTCATCATGGCAAGTCAGATGACACAGCTGCTCACATGGCTCCCACCAGCAGGAAGCTGCTGCGTACAATGCTATTTCTGGACGTCACTTGCCCTTCTCACCCAGTTCAAGGCATTGCCCATGGAGTGTTACTGCCCACGAACTGGTCTTCTTCCCTAAAATAGCTGGTTATAGAATTTTCCTCACAGAAATACCCAGATACTCTTAGGTGATTCTGGATCACATCAAGCTGCCAATCTCTATTAACAATCACTGCTCTGGCCATGTTGACGTGACACTTCACTACAACACTTTATGCAATAATTGCCTGTCTCTGTTCACATGGCTAATACCCTTGTCAGTGCACATGACTCACTGGGCCCGTCGTGAGTCCCTGTAGTGAATCACAGTCTCAATGTTGTCCATTCATCTACTATCTCTACTTAGACTCAAAGCAATTTCATAATGATGAGATCTTTATTGTGGGGTTGATACAAAAGGAATTTGGCAAATGAAGGATGATGCCAATAAAGTGAGACTGAATCCAAGCAAAGAGACAAGGTCTCCAGCATGACGTCTGTAATCTTAGGACCAGAATGTGATCACATTGGCTTTGAAGAACTTGTGTAACACACAGTACTTCTGTGTGTATCAGTTCTTCTGCACACAGGACACATTTCCTCTCTCATTGGTCGGTTGTACTCTGGGCCTGCACCTTTTTAGGAGAAAAATTCCATGGTCTTCACATCGCCATAAGTAAAAAGGTGACATAAGCTTCATGTAACCTTATTACAGGGACAACAAACATGCTACCTATTGTTTGTCTCAGGAATTTTAAGACAAATCCCAATCTTGCAGCTTTCATCATGGAGCCATGCCACACGAATAATATTGTCAAGCCATGGGGCAAGCTTTAATATAGCTCCCCTGCAGCCTCTGAAGATATTCTTGATCTCTGATGTTGACAGTGACTAGTAACTTAAAAATAGTATGTTATTTATAGCCGTATAAAGTGCTGGCTAGGGTATGCCTTGGTGTCCACAATGTCATTCTTTGGAGAAAATAAGACTAATGAAGTATTTTCATTATGTATTATAATGTAATCAATGTTTTCGTTTTTAACGATTCTAATACATGCTGAATTCAATCCAGCTTGCACTTGTTCTGCTAAACATTTGTATCTGGGCCTACATTACTGCTTTTTTGTGTCTAATGTATAGAGGCAAATGTTATACACTGTTCCATAGATATTGGAAAAACTTACTAAGCGAAATTGCTCAGAATATGTGACTTGTTTCCAATACTCCAAAACATTGAAATCCATCTTTTGACGTGTCCAAGATCCAATAAAAATTTCAGAAGTAATCACTAAAAAAATATAAGAACATACAGAAAATAATGAAGGTCTTGGGCACCAAAAGAAATTCATACCTGTGTTCATGGGGCAGAGTTTACTGCTGTGATTTACAATGTAATTTGGAACCTAATCACGTACTTGAAGTAAACAATGCAGTTATAGATAGGTTAATCACCATGACAATTAGGCTGTAAACAGCCCCTAAGGGGGAGAGTCAAGGATCCTCAACCTAAATTTGCATATTACTTCCTTCTGCCCCCTAGCAAAATATGGCCTTGGGGATGGTGTGAAACAGTATATAGGAGGGAAAATTAACTTAAGGTTGAACTGTAGTGGGAAGATTTCCTGAGTCAATAGCCAGGCTATTGTGGGACTCCTCAGAGATGCAGCTGTCTTTAACTCATCCATGCTTCTGTAAGTAACTCATCAATAAATTTCTCTCAGATGACGACCTTACATATTATATCGCTTTACAAAGCTGGTTTGGATAGCTTTCTGCCTCTGGTGTTACTGCTCGTGTATGGTGTTCTGGTTCTAGGCTTTAGTGAGACTCTTTAGAGGTGCAGCTGCCTTCAATTCAACTGCGCTCCAGTCAGTAACTCTTCTCCAGAATTCTTCCAACTGACACTAAATGTTTCCTCATTTTAAAATGAAACTGGTTTAAACGGGTTTGCTGTTTGTTCCTAATGCTGTTGCATTTGTTTTTTTTATTTATCTATTCTTGGGCATTGTTGTTCTCATGCAGGCAGTAAATGGAGGCTTGTCCACACCTTACCCAGGGAGGTAACATTAGAAGGAACTGAGAAGTATTTTATAACCATTGACCTAGAAAACAATCGCACATCACACTATAGCATCATTGGTTCTGAAATGAACGTATTTTCATTTGGATACAGTCAGCAGTGACTAGATTTATTTGGCATTGCCTGAATTATCCTAAGTAGTAAAGAGTACTAGTACCTGTTTCAGTGGCAGAGACCAGCAAAGAGTCTGTTTAACAGTGAGTGAAGAAGATAGTTCCAGAACATGGAATGATCCACCCCACAGAGCCAAACTTGTAAACATTGATATTTCCAGTCAGAATAAGACAAGAGTGAGTACAATTTGTTACATCTACAGAAGGAATAATATATATGAACTTAATCATATTTTCTATTCTGTGGACATAGTAGCTAAAGCTAGCAGATGGGGCTTTATACATCTTTGAGAATTTCAGATAAAGTACTATTTAATACAAGGAACACTTTGCTAATATTTACCTTTATTTTCCTGATATTTCCAAGTAAAACAAATTTTAAGCATTCAAAAAAAAATCACAAAAGCAAACTTTCAAATTTTAAGAAGGTGTAAATCAAAACTCTTGGCTTCTTGTACTCCTCTTGGATTGTGAAAATCTTTCAGATGATAAATTATAGGTGTGCATATATTTACACATAAGTATCTCTCATGCATAAAATAAATTTAGAGAAGTTTCATGATTTTTGAACAGTTTTTTTTCTATATAGGAATTATCCAAACTTAATTATTTTATTTTATTTTAGAAGATTCATGTTTACCTTGTATATCATAGAATATTTTGATAGTTTTATTTTGAGTATTTATTTTATGTGTTTTCCATGCATAAATCTTATTAAGTTTCCAGATTTCTGGTGTGCATTTCCAACTGCATTTTATCAAAGCTTCTGAGCACCAGGAGATTTTTCATACTAGTGTCAGTGAAGGTATATAAACTTTCTATTTTAGTACTTTGATGCTGACTATGTATATGATTGATATACTTGTTAGGATTTTGTAACAAAACCTGCTTTTGGGTTGCCTAGCAACTTATGATGTCATCATGTGTCCCTGGCCAGGTAGCCACACCTGGAAGGCGTGGTTACCTTGCCCCTTAAAGGGACAACCCAACACATGGTCTCTCTCTCTCTCTCTCTCTCTCTCTCTCTCTCTCTCTCTCTCTCTGTCTCCCAGTCCTTTCTCTATCAGGGCACTCCCTTTTTCTTTCCCCTTCTCTCTCTTATCCTGTCTCTCTCTTTCCCCCCTCTCTCTTTAATTCCCCCATCATGTCCTGCTCTCCCTGCTCTCCCTTCTCTCTCTCCATATCCACCTAATAAGTCTCTTTTATATTTAAGATGTGTTGTACGCCTAATCGTCTTTATTTAATTTTTGTCCCATAACTTTACAATACTTATAATTCTTTTTGGCCTTTATTAAAAATGAATTGATTATGACTCCAACCCAGCCCATTACAAAGTATTTTATGACTGTGTTATACTAAGCAGATAAAGAAAATAAAATCAACTTCCTAAAGCCTGTGTTATCACATCACATGGACAACGTGTTGCTGTGTAGAATGCTAACAACCTATTACAACACAGAACTCGTGGTGATGTGCAAGAACTCCACTGTTAATACCTTGACTCCTCAAAACTACTGACAGTAGAAACAATATAAACATTTAGACTCTCTACATGTAATCTATTATATCATCATAGTTGGTATAGATCATAAATTTAGAAAAAAGTTATAAACATTTTGACAAAAGAAGAAAAGAATGACATTATCTCACTGAGCTGGAAGATTCATGCATGATAGGGCTTCATTTTTTATAACACCATTCTTTTTATCATAAGCATTAGTAAACAATCATGAGTTTATTCCCATTTGCCAAGAAAATAAATCCACAAACAAACTGTTTTTCTTCCATTGATGTTCAAATCCTTCTATTAGACATTGAGTTAAGGCTACAAATTTAGAGGACTAGAGAGTTGGCTTAGGAGATAAGAAGATTGCTTCTCTTAAACGCGACCTGGGTTTGAATCCCACTAGCCACACAGCTGTGTATCTTCAATCCCTGGAAACTTGATCTCCTCTCCTGTCCTCTATGGGTACCAGGCATGCATGTCATACACATACATATATAGATAAAACACTGATACTCACAAAATATAATTAAGTTTTTTTAAATTACAAATTCATCAGTGATGTTATGGAAAATCTGCAGAAAAATCAAAAGACATTGCTCTATCTGAAAGGAGTAACTTGAACACACACTAGCTCAACTAAAGTACACCTCCAAATGCTTGGAGAATGAAGAAACATGGCCAGGAATAATAAAGACCTGAAAAGAGACTCTCATATTACAAAATATGAACATGGGAGAATATAATCTTCTAATCTAATATTCTCGTTGCTAAAGGTTCTTTATTCTCACAAAGTAAAACAACAATTTGTATAAAGGAGACCACTATTAGCAAAGACTTAGACTGACAATGTCACTTTGGGTAAACTCAGAAGACTATATCTCAAGAGTTGTTATTTTTCTTTGACAGGGAAACTGCTCCTGCTACTGGTGTCCAACCTGCTGCTGTGGGAGGGTGTGGCCTCAGTGCCCACATGTTCAATGAGGAATGGACGCTGCTATGCTCGCTTCGAAGAAATGCTTGATCGAGCAGTCAGTTTGTCTGAGCAAATTAGTAAACAAGCTTTTAATATGTTCACTGAATTTGTAAGTACCGCTGCCTGACTTCTAGCTTTATGCCAAATTGTTCCTCCATGGAATAGTTGTGTTATAATAAAGTCTGAAGTTGAAAGCATCATGATCCAAACTTCAAACAATATAGATTCATAGGTAGAAAAAAAAAAAAAAACAAAACAGAAGGTACTAGACTGTGGAACCAGAAAATAGGGCATTTTCATGGAATATCAGATGGTTGCCAAGATATAATTTTTCTCTTATTTTTATACTTTTATCTTTATTGTTATGACATAAATTCATGCAAGACATAGCTGAGGAAAGATGAGAATCTCTTTCAGTATATTCTCTTTCAGTATGTGATGACCTAGGCCTTGTTTGCCGTATTCACCTTTGGATTCTGTATTATCTAATAAAGGAAAATGCATTGTAGTGACTTGTAAACATTAAATAGACTCAAAGACACTGAAGCCATGCTGGGGGAAAAAGAAAATTAATATTTGATCTTCATATTCAACAATATTATTAATAATTTTAAATAATTCAAGATATGACTTAGTAACAAGGGGTTCTGATGCAGGAAAATGGGTCAGGTCTTCATGACGAAGGCAACTTTAAGACTTTATGGTCTATGTTTAACTCCAGTAAATGAAATGTCAAAACTGATGACGTTTGTCCTCAATGGTCTTGTGAGAAGTTAGCTCAATGCTTGCGAAGCCTATATATCCCTAATGTTTATTTCTTTTTTTTTTATGAATTCAGATTTTTTTTAAAATCTTTTATTTATTTTTTATTAATTACACTTTATACATTTTGTATCCCCCCATAAGACCCTCCCTCCTCCCCTGCCGATCCCACCCTCCCTCCCCTTTCTGCATGCATGCCACTCCCCAAGTCCACTGATAGGGGAGGTCCTCCTCTCCTTCTTTCTGATCTTAGTCTATCAGTTCTCATCAAAAGTGGCTGCATTGTCCTCTACTGTGGCCTGGTAAGGCTGCTCCCCCCTCTGTTTCTGCCATTTATATGACCTGAAATATTCAGAATCATCCTAAGAACCCATCTGAGCTACCAAATATGTCACTAATAGTGGTTTTGAATAAAAAACATTTTAAACAATAAAGATTTAGAAGCACATAACAAATAATTAAGTATTCATTAACATACAAAATAAATTAATTTTGTATTTTATTTGGTCTGTGGCTTAATGTTTCGTAGTACATTGTGTATAGGGTTTAAGACTTATTTTGTCATAATCAATACAAAAGCATTCTGTATTTCTTTTGTTTTGTTTTGTTTTAAATCTTTTTTAATTTTATTTTTTTTTATCAGTTACATTTTATTAACTCTGTATCCCAGCAGTGTCCCGCTCCCTCATTCCCTCCCAATCCCACCCTCCCTCCCTCATCTCCACCATGCCCCTTTCCAAGTCCACTGATAGGGGGGCACCTCCTCCCCATTCACCCGATCCTGTTTTATCAGGTATCTTCAGGACTGGCTGCAAAGTCCTCCTCTGTGGCCTAACAGGACTGCTCCTCCCTTGAGGGAGTGGGGAGGTCAAAGAGCCAGCCATTGAGTTCCTGTTAGAAATAGTCCTTGTTCCCCTCACTATGGGAAACCAATTGGTTACTGAGCTACCACAGGCTACATCTGACCAGAGGTTCTAGGTTATATCCATACATGGTCCTTGGTTGAATGTCAGTCTCAGAAAAGACCCTGTGCCCAGATATATTTGGTCCTTGTGGAACTCCTATCCTTTCCCCATCAGACTAACTCCCCTTCTTTCTTATGATTCCCTGTACTCTGCCAAAGGTTTGGTCATGAATCTTTGTATCTGCTTTGAAAACACTGCTAGTTAGAGTCTTTCAGATGTGCTCAGTAGACTCCTGTCATATGTTCAATGCACATCCCATCTGTCTTTCTAAACCAGGATTGATCATCTTACCTTATGTCCACTCTCTTGATTATCTTTTTTAGGTGTATAGATTTCATTATGTTTATCATATCTTATAGGTCTATATAAGTGAGTATGTACCGTGTTTGCATTCTGTATTTCTAAGGAACTAAGTGAGGGATACTTGTGTAGGTGCCAAGGTATTTGCAAGAAAAGTTATGCACCATGGCATTTCTTACAAATGATACTTTTAAAGAATCAGTACTTGGTAATCTTCCTAGTTTTAGCTGAATAGAACAGCTGAAAATAGTAAATAGGAGTTTGGAATTTTGAAATGTATGTAAATATGACTATAGAGTGAATTCAAATGTAAGTAAATGGCTTATTTACTTACTATATTAATTTCCATTTTAGTTTTTTTTTATTTTTAAAATGAAATATCTATCAAATGCATTAGTGTGATGTTCACTGATTTATTTACAGTGTCTAGTCTCCATGTAATTACATATTTCATTATTTACAGGATAGTCAGTATTCCCAGAGTCACCAGCTCATTAAGAGGAACTTCAAAAAATGCCACACATCTTCTATCGAAATTCCAAAACTTGGAAGTAAAACCAGGCTACCGGTGAGTCTCCACCCATGTAATTTTTTTTCACCAACTCTAGACAGTGGCTTTGCCATACCATTAGTTATTATAGTCAATACGTTGTATATGAGAATGATATTTGCCAAAAGTAGACAGGGAATGAATAATAAAATTACATTTGATTATATAGTTTACAAAGAATAAGGAAAATCTGCTAAGTAACTAACATATCTGTAAATCAATCATGGAGAGGATCCTCTTTCAATACCAAACCTTAAGGATCTATGTATCCTATAGAACATTTTAAATTATTGTTGACATTCATTGTTAAACGCCCAGTAATATAAATTTATAGAATGCCAATGTGGTTGTATTTGTCGTACATTGGTACTGTGCCCTGTGCCAGCAGCTCTTTACATTACTACGATACCCACCATTTCTTCCTGGCTTTCAAGCACCTTCTGGTTCTACTTCTACTTCTGTTTCTGATCCTAAATGTTAGTTTCGGATTGCTTTGCCCTCATCCATGTCCTACCTCAAAGTCAGCTAAAGAGAAGAGTACAGTTGTCATTATAAGATGTTCCATGTTGTGTAAGCATGTGTAACCACTGTGTGCTTATAGACAAGGATACATACCACCTAGCTTGCCTCTACTTCCTAATTTTTATCATCTCTTACTTCTGATTCCCTGCCTTAAGTCATCTCAAGATTATTTAAATTGAACATTATCGTACATCCTTGCACAACCCCACCCTTAGAATGCATTTTCTGTGTATTGCTTAATAACTAAAATATTCTGTCTTTATAATTCTTATTAAAATAACAGTGAAATAATAAAGGTCATTGGGGAAAATGGAGCTGAGGATGAGAACATCATTAATAAAATTTAAATTTACTACTATTTTACTACTTTGCTAGCAACTGTGACCCACTCTACTGACATTTGTAAATACAGTTCACTCAAATTATATAACTTGAGGTCAATGGCAACATTTTGTTTCGTCATGTAATTTACAAAAGAATCTGTAAATGCACACAAGTCACAAGTTTATTTCACCATTTTGTTTTTCACTTGTTTTAACATGATTGTTTAAATATGGCTATTTAGCCAGTAAAGCTACTGAAATTAGTGGAGAGAATACTGGGTGCCTGGAAAATCCCTCTGAGCCATCTAGTGAACAACATGCCTTCCTTGAAAGACGCCCCTGCTACTATCCTCTCCAAAGCCAGAGATATCAAGCAAATGAACGATGGCCTCCTGGAGGGAGTTAGGACCATTCTCAGCCAGGTGAGCAACCCCTTTACTTCTTTGCTTCCTTCTTCAGAAATGAGATGATCAGAGCAAAGAGAACTGAGTTTTGAACTATGTCTCTTACACCATCATGTACAAGCATCACTGAATCTCAGGTGTGGGATATATACATTATAGTAAGAATTTATTTAGTTGAAAATAAGAAAGAACAATGTTTCAAAATAAGAACCTATTGAGGGAAAAAAAGACAAAGCAGGATCTATGTTGAAGATAATTTTTAATTAAATGTTATTTTTTATATTATTTACAGCTTATTCCTTTTGTATCCCATCTGTAACCCCTTCTCTCATTCCCTCCAACCAAACCATCCCTCTCTCATTTTCTTCCATGCCCCTCTTCTAGTCAACTGATAGGGGAGGTCCTCCTCTACCACAGAGGGCCTCTGAAAGACTCTACCCAGCAAGGTATCAAAGCAGATGCTGAGACTCATAACCAAACTTTGGGCAGAATTCAGGGAATCTTATGAAAGAAGGGAGAGGTAGTAAGACTTGGAGAGGACAGGAGCTCCAAAGGAGAGCAACAGAATCAAAAAATCTGGGCACAGTGGTCCTTTCTGAGACTGATACTCCAACCAAGACCATTCATGGATATAACCTAGAACCCCTGCACAGATGTAGCCCATGGCAGCTCAGTATCCAAGAAGAGGACAATTTTTAAGAAACAGAATGAACTCTAGATCTTTCTTAGTACTTTTCTCAAATCCATATCTAAAATCAAGCAATTTCCTGGTGGTCCATTCCTAAACTTCTGTAAGAATGTAGTTTATAAGGCATAAAATTCATTCATCAAGTCTTTATATTTTATATACCTTGCCCTGAATCTCATGAAAAATCTATAGGCTTGGTTGAATTTAACAATTCTAACTCTTCACAAGTTTTCATTCCACACTGAGAAAAGTTATGCACCTCAAAATAGTAAGATATAATGGATAATTGACTATCTTTTTTGATGATCAGTTTCAAGGTGGAAATAAAGAAAATGAGAACTACCTTGGTTGGTCTGGACTGGCATCCTTGCAGTCAGAAGAGGAAGACGTGCGCCTATTTACATTTTATAACCTGATTCGTTGTGTGGGCAGAGAAACTCAAAAGGTTGAAACTGCTTTCAAAATCGTGAAGTGTAAAATATCAAAACAAAATGAGTGCTAAGCCCTTTTCTGAAATGCTGATTGGGGATCTGTTCCTGTGAAATTTTCTTTATTTTTTTTCTCTCTTTTTAATGCAAGCTTGGTGTGATGGTTATATTCTTTTAAAATAAAAACTTTCTCCATGTATGTGACCACCTGAGAAGCCAATTGGTCACAATTTATCTATTTCATTAAATAAAAAGTTTATGCGAATCACTGTCCTATTCTAATAAATATTTTGCAAATATTTTAAAAATATTGTAGTTAGGCATGCAAGTAACACATTTTAAAACTAACAATTAGAGAGTATAAATATGTGTCAAATTATTAGAATTTAGGAGGAACATTTTCACAAGTCTCTTTTAGTCAGTCTATTCCAAAACTTGAAATTCTTGGCATCCTTAATGAAAGCTAGACACTCTGTCCTGATACCGGAACATTTGAGATTCTCACAGTCAACACAGGTGCAAGGAACCACATTTCCCTAGAGGGGTGGTATTAAAAAAATAAATAAATAAGTATCTTAGGATACAAGTATGAAATATCTCCTGATTACACTATAACTGTCTTCAAACTGGTCCTCTGAATTTCTTGTTTCCTTAACATCATCTCAACAACCTCTGTCTGTTCTGTTCATGTTGTGTGTGACAAGGCTTTTCTGGATGACACCCAACTTAATCTCCTTTTCATACTATTTAGCACTTTCCTTTCAACCTCTACTGAGTAAAGCTATGTAACAGGAAATGAAATCTGTACAGTCCCTGTAATTGTTTAGTCTCTTCTACATTACTGGATTTCTATTCATATGTTTTTGGAGGGTAAGTAGAAACTCATAAGACAGAACAATTATAACCGTCTAATTTATTGCATGACTAAGTTTATTGCTGATTGGGACTATTTTATCACAGTCAATAATATTTCTCCCATATATGATCATGTGCACAAAAAACAAATAAATGCAAAAAAAAATTATGTGGTTTATATACTCACTGGAATCTTCTACAACTGCGAACAAGAACCAAGCAATATCGGTTGCAAGACAATAGATGCATTTGGAGATAATCTCATAAATGAATTAGGTCAGTACTTAAGAGACAAATATATGTTCTTTCATTTGGGAGTCTAAAACTTTACAAAGTTAGATAAAATCCTATATTTAAGAGGACCAGATGATACATAAGTCAAAATAATATTCTCTATGGGAACAGAGTGATCTAATGTGATAGGAAGGAGAGAGAAAACAAAGTATATTGTGGTATGGGGCAGAATGTGCCCAAAATATATTTACATACTTGAATTGAAATGGCCTTATATAATCAAATAAAACACATTAAAAACAAAAATCCTGCATTTCAAAGTAGTCGTGGTCATGAAATGCTGGATAAAGATTTTGTTCACTCATGCACTTTTTCATGGCTAGCCTTTGATTCGCTGTGGTTCTTCATGCCTCATTTCCTAAACTTGATCCAGTAATTCACATTCTTTTTTAAAATTTTGTTTGTTTTTGAAACTTTCATTAATATATGCAGTGTATTCTGACCACACCTGTCTGTCCCTACTCCTTACAACACCATAATTATATTGCCATTGCAACTTCCTCCCCCTGTTTTATAATTTATGTGTGTATTTTTAGACCCTGAGTCCAATTTTAGCATTACCCATAAACTCACTAGTGTCTATGAAATTACTTATGGCCACAGATCTAAACTGAAGGTTTCACCAACAACCATCAGTTGCCAATAGCTCTTTAGCAAGGTCTGGGGTTTCAAAGCCTGTCCTTCATCTATGCTGAAAGTTTTAAGTGCCTTGATTTTGTGCAGTTGTGTATATAATAATATCTCCACTGAATTTGTGTACACAACAGCTGTCTCAAGTCAATAATATAGAAGGGGAGGGGAGGGGAGAGAAGGGAAAGAGAGGGGAGAGAAGGGGAGGAAAGAGAAAGGGAGGGGAGAGAAGGAAGAAGCATGAAGTCCCACCACTAGACATAAGACTATTAACACCATAGAGCTGGTAGAAGGAGAATTGGGTTGTTTTTCCTATGAAGCCCTTGGCAAGTCAGATATGTTCTAGTATGATACACCATATCCAAGAATATTTTGGTAGTTCAAGTTAAACTCAAAGATTTTAAGAAAAATTAAACAACACATTGGGTGAGTACAGAAGATGGGTAGATCAGGCAGGAGTTGGAATAACAAGAGGTTTCAAAAAGTATATTCCAAGTCCACAGTCTCTCTTCTGCTGCTTGTGGATCTGGGTGTAGAACTCTCAGCTACTTCTCTAGCACCATGTCTGCCAGCATGCCACCATGCTCCCTGCCATGATGACACTGGACTGAATTTATGAAATAGTAGGCAAGCCTCAGTTAAATTTTTCTCTTTATAAGAGATACCATGATCATGGTGTCTCTTTATAGTAATCAAATACTGATTAAGAGAGGATGTGACTATATCAGAGCATATGAATGACATAGCGTGTCATGGAATTAAAACAAAAACAACCAAACAAAACACACACAAAAACACCCAAAAACAAACAAACAAAAAACAGGCTGTTACTAAGACAAAGGCCTTCTGCAAATGAAAAATAGGGCCCCATTGCTGAAGACAACAGCCACTCAATTCACCGAGCATGGAGACATAGAGCTAGTGTCAACATGGAGCATTCACCTCCTAGCGGGGAGGGAAGAATATAATCAGGAAATGCAGGAGAAAAGAATCTATTTTCAATTAAAGGAAGAAAAAGAAGAACTTATAGTAGTTACTACAAATGGCTGAGAAGTATTTCAAACGTGATCGATGTCATTCATCATCAGAGGCATTCAAATTAAAAGTATTTTGAGATTTCATTTTACCCTTGCAGCCTCCATAGGACCTTCTAGTACCATAAAAGCTGACCAGCAGAGTTTTCTGGTTAATTCCAGAGCTATGTGTCTGTATCCTGAAACCAAAGTATATGGTTTTAACAATAGAGTCTTACTACCACTAGACAGAAATGCTGGACAACTAAGAGTTGTGGCAATGGCATCAATTTTAGGGATTCTAAAATTTAGGGATTCTCTGACAAACAACTCACATAGGGGTATAATGTGTCAGGCATGGAGATTTCCAACCAATGACCATACCTTCTAGGAGAAGCATTGTTCATTAATATGGCATACTTTTTTTTCAAACTAATTTTTAAATGTATTTTAATCAGGTTACAAACCAGTTGGTTTACATAAGTATTTTTCATTCACCATTGGTATTCATTGACCCACCCTAACCCTTCACTTACCCAGATGCTCTGTCTCTATTCTCATTTAATTGTAGCTCACCATTTTCTTCCCTGTTCTCTTGTATCATATGTGTTGAATTATCTTCCCATAGGTTTTTACTTGAGTTAGAAGGTCATATGTTCTCAATTAATATATTCAGATGCACATCATTTTGATTAAGCACAGCCCTGGACCTTCATTTCTCCATTTTCACCACTCCACTACCTATGTAAATCTTCCTGTTCCCAGCATTCAAACTCTCTACTTTCACTTCACTTATATTCTACTATTTTTTTTCTCCACATGTATATCTCTGCCAATGACTAATTTGTAGTTTCCTAGTTTCTAAATTTAATCCCTGTTAAACACACACAGAAAAACATTTCATGACCCATGATCCTTTTCCATTCTCTAGAGCTTGCTGTTCTTCGCATGGTCACTTTCACCTTTCTGAGTTTTTTAGTACATGGGATTATATATTCACATCCAATGATTTGTAGCAAGAACCACAAAGGAAAGACCAGGTGCTATTTTCATTCTGGATCATCGTCATCTCACTCAACGTACTATTTTCCTAGTTGCATCCGCTTCCTGGTAAACATCATAGAAATTGCTCAGCCCTGGGGGTCTGCCCAAGTGTGTGACTTCAAATACCAGAGGCTAAGAGGACAGTAATAAATCGTTTGAGAATGAGAAGAGGTTATTATTACAAAATACTTCATGCTTTACCTCTGCTGTCAACCTGATACAAAGTCAGTGTCATCAGTTAAGAGGAACCCTCAGCTGAAGAATTGTGCAGATTGTATTATCCTATAGCCATGTATTATCTTATTTGGTAATTTGTGGAGGAGGTCTAGCCTACTGTGAGTGATGCAATACCTAGGCAGATGGTCCTGGACAGTATGAGAAATGTAATTGAGCCAGCCAAGGAACCAATAAAGTAATAATTGTTTTCCCATTTCTTGTACTTGAAGCTTTTGCTCTGAGATTCTGCTTTAGCTTCACTTGCATACAGACTGTAACTTAAAAGCTAAAAGAAAAATTTCTCTTCAAGTTGCTTTCCTTTGGGTGGTTAATACAGTAATAGAAAGAAAATCAGGAAAATTCATTAATCTAGAATGGATGGAAATCTAAGATTATGCAAAGGAAAGCCATTTCATACTTGTATCCTAACACATGTCAGAGTGTTTGAAAATTTCAGAAAAATAGGCATAGTGCAGTCATATAGCATTTGGATTGTCTGTCAACACACTACAGATAATCACTGATAAATAGTGGCTGAGCCAGAATATATCCTATTTTTTTTTTCAAATTATCCATAACCTAGATGGACCAATACAAAATAAAATATTTTTTTTTCATTATAAGAATTTGGCACACATTGATATTCTCTGACTCTCAAAGAGTTATGCAATATGTTAATAGTGTAGTTACCAACCTTTATTTTTTTATTGATTTATTACAATTATTCACTTTTTAAAAATTAATTACAGTGTATTCACTTAGTATCCCAACGGTAGCCCCCCCCCTCATTTCCTCCCAATCTCACCATCTCTCCCTCATCTCCTCCAATGCCCCTCCCCAAGTCCACTGATAGGGGAGGTCCTCCTCCCCTTCCATCTGACCCTAGACTATCAGGCCTCATCAGGACTGGCTGCGTTGTCTTCCTCTGTGACCTGGTAAGGCTGTTTCCCACTCAGGGGGAGGTGATCAAAGAGCAGGCCAATCAGTTCATGTCAGAGACAGTCCCTGTTCCCCTTACTAGG